CAATAATAAATAGTGGAACTGATTAGTACTGTTTCCTATATTGAAATATAATCATTAAAGTTGGTGGTAAAATTTTTAAAATTGTTGTATCAGTTTTTTTGCTTTTTTTTAAATATTTATTTGTTGTTTTCTACTTGTTTTTAAGTTTCCTTTTATTTATTTTATTTTTGTGTTTTTTTTTCTACACATTTAAATTTTTTTTAAATGATAGTTTTACTTTTCTTCATGTTGTGTGGAAATAGTTTTGTGTGCAAATTTCTTAATGTTTCACTACAGTATAGTAAGTGAGCGGGGTTGATTTTTGAACGGGGCTGGGTTTGTGACCGGGGCTGCATAAACATTTATACATCATAAAGTTTTTTTTTTTCATGTTATATTTTGTATTTATATGTATTATTGTATTTATATGTATTATATTTATATGTATATATATGTATTTATTTTGTATTTATAAACACATAATTATTATCATCATGATCATCATTATTATCATCATCATCATTATCATCATCATCACGATCATGATCATCATCTTAAACAGCATAAAAGAGGAAGGCTAAAGCTGACGATCATGATCATCATTCATGATAATGATGATCATCATTTTCATCATTGTCAGGCTTTAGCCTTCCTCTTTTATGCTGTTTCTCTAATATAAACAATCTAGAGCATTTTTTTTTTCTCAGCTAAAGCTCATTCATACAATATGTTAGACACTCTTTTTAAGTTTTCTTACTTCTACTACTGCCATTTTCTACTGAAGCTGCTACCTCTCTACATACTGATACCTAAATTACTTTAATCTTTTCTAACAACCATTGTTGGACACTTTTTTTTTCTAATCTGTCTAAGATTATGCCACCTTTTCTTGTCTTGCTAGAGTCACACCACACATCCATCTGATCATCTTTTCTTTTGGAAAATACTACACCATATAAATGGTAAAGTTTATATAACAACGAAAGGATATTGTCAGCATCTAAATAAATAGCAAACATATATGTATATATCCGTAATATGTATGCATAAGGTGCATCATGGAGGCTTTTATTCTTTCTAGAATAAAAGTTTGAAAGCTTTTATTGGTTCAATTTAAATTCAAGCCTCATTCTACTCCACATTTTCCACCATCTTGAGCTTTTTTAATTGTTAAAAAGCAATCTTTTTTTACAAGAACATCTCTCTTAATAACAAATGTCCTTTTATTATTGCAAGAAGCCAATGTAAAAAAGTTCTGTCTGATGTTAAGTTCTGTTATTCTCATTTTACTAAATCTTGTCTCTTATATCCGATGTTCTAGAGACTTTTTGTTAGTCTTCAACAATTAACTAAAGTAAGCCTAACATTTAATCTCTCATTCATGGGTCTGATCCTTTTTCTTCTCCCCAGAATAAAGCAGAGTTAGCTGCAACAAATTCTTATTGTAATTTGACTCTTGAATATAATAGCCATGCTCTTCCTGACATTTAAACAGATTAACCCATTGTTAACAGTGAAATCACCCTGGCTTTCAATGCTAAAGTTAATTCTCAATTAAAGACTTCTACAGTTTGTTCTTCAGAATAGATTTCCATCATAATCTTAAAAAAGTGTTCGCCAGAACTCTCTTTAGTTTTTGTTAAACTTTTAAAAAGTGCTAGATAAGTGGTTCCAATTTTTTAAAACTCTAGAAAAAACATTGACCTCTCTAACTGTCCTACGATTAGTCTTCACTCGATTTTTTTATATAAATGTTTTAAGGTTATTAAATTATTTCTTTCTAACTGAGGTAGTCGAGTTATTCTTGAAGGCCTACCCTCTTCTTTATTTTAAGTAACTTTAAGGGTACCACTAGGTTCTATCTTTGCTCCTGTATTTTTTTATTTATTTATAATAATGATCTTCATGAAATCTAAAGTGGCTCTATTTGCTGACGACTCAACTTGATACTTTTGTCTTGACTAAAAATCTTCACTTTTCAATTGCTTAGAACAAGGAGCTGATTTTAAATCTGATCTCTCTCCGTAACAGCCTAAGGCTTGCAGTGACTAATGGATTTTAAAAAAACCTTATAACTCTTACCCATTTTCATGTTTTTCTTTTTTATACAACTTTTTAAGTCTTCAGTTATACGTTTCCTAGTATTTTAACTTATTTTAAAGTAACTCATAACTTAATAGTGGTTGCTTGCAATCTTGTTGGAAATAGTATTTAATAATAGTATTTAATAAATAGTAAATCTAAGTGTAAAATTATTATTTATTAAGTATTATAAATTTTTTTCTAGCCCCAGCTTTAAACCCCCGCTAATTCTTATATTTTTGTCACTAACTACTACAGTAAATTTCCTAATGTTTCTACTTTTTATTCTTTGCATTTTATACCTATTTACCAGGCAAGGTAGCAACACTTTGTGCATGATCTACCTATTTGTCAGTCGATGTATGTAAACAGTAGAAAAATAAAAATTAGAACATTCTAAATGTTTTTAAAAACATTTCAGTCAATTATTTCTGCTTTTGTTGTTTTTTAAAAAATGATAAAATTTAATTTATATATATATATATGTCTCTCTCTCTCTCTCTCTCTCTCTCTCTCTATATATATATATATATATATATATATATATATATATATATATATATATATATATATATATATGTATATATATATATATATTATATATATATATATATATATACACACACACGCACATATATATATATATATTAATAATATTACAGTGTATATATTCTATACTTTATATATATTGTATACATTGTAAGATAATTAATAAATGCTATACTTGAATGAAATTTTTTGTAAATTACTGGAGTACTTGAAGTAATTTATCCAATCCATATAGTTTATTATGGGAGTAATTTGAATGATTTGTTTAATCTTTATTTGATAAAATATTTTTTGTTGTTGTACCAGTCATTATTTTTACAAATTGGTACATCATTGTTGCAAATTATAAGAGTATATAAATATTTTAGTTTTAACATCAGAATAAATATTAATATTTGTATTTTCAGTTGATCCTTCCACTAGTGTCACTATATTTATGTAATGATTCTAATGATAAACCATCTATTGAGTCTCCAACTATTGGTACTGAAAATCTTAATAAACGTCGTTCACGAAATCACACCCCATACGTATGTTCAACTTCAACAAAAATATTAGCAGCTGAGATTCTTATTCAGTTACTTATGAAACCTGAGGATCGTATCAAAACAAAATTAAAATTAGGTGGGTGTGTTACATGATTGCTATATATATTGTTCTAAGGTGGGTGTGTTGCATGATTGCTATATATATTGTTCTAAGGTGGGTGTGTTACATGATTGCTATATATATTGTTCTAAGGTGGGTGTGTTACATGATTGCTATATATATTGCTCTAAGGTGGGTGTGTTACATGATTGCTATATATATTGTTCTAAGGTGGGTGTGTTACATGATTGCTATATATATTTTCCTAATGATCTCAGTCATAATTGTTATGATTGTGATCATTTTATATTTTTTTATATTTATTTTTTATTAATTTTTTTTAGAAATTTTTAAAGGTCCAGCATTAGATGAATCAAATTTAGTCACCTATTTTCCAAAGATATATTCCTTTGTTTTGAATGCAACTGAAAGTTACTTATCTTCAAATGGTATAGTAATTTACATGAGTCTTACATTAATTTCACTTACATTATTCTGAAATTATTTTAATGGCTATAGCATGACATAGAAATTTTGATATTTTTAGTAGTAAATATTGTTTAATAAGCACTGGGTTTATATTAAATGAAAACTGAGTTAGTTTATGTTTGAAACTACAACATTTTTTACATGTCTAGTTTAGAAACAGCCATCTTTATTTACAAATTGCTCACTAATTTTAGTATTATAATTTTATGACAAATTTTATATTTTGACAGAATTTGGCAAATCATGTATAGTGAAAATAATATTGGATTGAAATGATTGAATTGAAAAAAATATTGAGTTGAAAATAATATTGGATTGAAATGATTTTGTTGAAAATGATATCAGGTACTTGTGGTATCATTTTTGTAAATGTAACCCATTTAAATTTTAAAGTTTTTATATTTAATAGATAAACAAGTAGTTCAAGAACTACTTGTCTATCTATTAAATATAAATCTTGTAAATCAATTGGAAAAAAAAAGTTATTAAAAAGAAGAATTTGTTTTTATAGTAATAGCCTGTTATTCCTTACTTTTCGTTTATAAATTTTATGGAGTTATATTGAAGTCTAAGTATATGGCTCAATACTGTTAACCTTGTCAACCATGTCAAAACCATAACTTTAAGCCACTTTAGTTGATATTGTGTCCTAATGATGTTGGTTATGCATGATTTAGTAAAAAAACAATGTTGATATTTTTTAATTACATTTATGCTAAATCTATAACTTCATTTATATTTCATGGAATAGACGTAAGATATATAGGGTGGTAGTTTGAAACATTTAACATTGTACCCTTTTTGTGCAGAAGGGTTAAGTTTGTGACAGGTTACATTGGGGTTCATCATTTAGGCACCTTTATGCTCACGTTTATACATTCAAAAGCAGCTCTTGAGTAATTATTGAACTTTGTGGTACAAATTTACTGTTATTACATTTTATAGGGTTGTTATATATTGAATGGTGATGGATCCAAATGCATCTAAAAGGAATATGCTTTACACCAAAATGAACTTAGTATCATTTATTTATTGGCATTGCTTACAAGTGTTGGATTGTTAACAAATTTAATATAAATACATTATTATAATATACACACACCACTATGTTAGTCTGATTTGTGGTCTTTTCTGAATATAGTATAGTTTTGAATAAATAGATTTGATAGCAGAATAAACCATGTTTTTGTGAAGTTGAAATCCCAGAATTTACAAACCATTTAATCATATTTATATCTATTTTGTAGAGACTGAAGTTACGCAGCTATGGGCAGCTTTGTTTTCAGCCTTTGGAGACATTAATAATGAAGGAG